GATGCAACGCATGCTAGTTGTTATAATGATCACCAATTAATATATAGCATTCGTAGCACTACATGGATTGTATAGTGCTGATAAAGTTATGGTAATAATATATATGTCGGAGATAGGTGGATCACATAGGACAACTCGTTGTCAGATCCCTCATTGTAATTTACTTGTTCGATTAAAATCAACAATAACGAAAATAATTATTAACCACACTGATGTAATTGAAAGGAAACGTACAGACAGCGTCTTAGTAGTAGGGGCTTAGTAAGGGCTTTACTAAGCCTCCGCTGACTGTCTTTCTATCTGTCCGTCTGTGATCAGGCTGTATCTCATGTACCACGATAGACATTTGATATTTTCGCAGATGATGTATTTCTGTTGCTGCTATAAAAGAAACAATAAAAACCAGAATAAAAAATATTTACGTAAGGCTCCCATACAACAGACATAATTTTTTTTTCCCATCGTGCACTTGGGCGGTTTTTTATTTAATTTGCATTATTTTTGGAAAAATAATAGGTATTTTTTTGGTGACAAGTTGCCAACAAGCAGGCGGAGCAACTGATGTTAGATGAATACCGCTGCCCATGGACATCTGCTACACCCGAGGGTGACAGATGCGTTGGCAACCTTTTAATTGGGCTCCGGCTTCCTCACTCACCAGATGAAACGCGAAAGTATTATATTTCCACTTCACGCCGGTTTTCTGCGAGGTCGTGGTACTTACCCGTACGTGCCTGCCCATTCGTGTAACAGCCGGAACTGCTGCGTGGCCCTAACACACTTTAGGCACATTTTTGTATCGACACGGTTTATTTCATATAGTTCTTTGGTTATATCTAGCTTCATAAAAAATGTAGGTACATTTACAGCTTGGCTCGTCATAAGGAAAAGTGTAATATCAGTGTCAATAGTACGTGTACAACAGTATTATATGCATGCTATCTCCATAATATATCATCACAAAATGACGCGTTCATGATGAAAAGGGCAATGGCCTCTCGATACTACGCGAGTTACGCCGAAATATAACGTTACAAATTTTCTCCAATGACTACGGCCTTTGTTTGGTAGATAAGAAATTTAAATAAAAACAATATTACAAAGGCTCGTTTCGACAATATTACGGCTTCTGTCTAGTCTATTTTGAAAACAAAACTCACCTTTGTTAATATTTCATTTAATATACACTCGATTTGTTACATTTTTATAACTTCTATTATATATCCATTTGAAGCCGTTTCATTTCTCATTTCTTTGATTATAATCATGGACACAAATAACCTCAATGAAAAAATTGTCGACAATTATTTGTTGAATAATTTATTATATTATATTATTATAAATTCATCTGCTATTATATGAATTGGCAGGATCGGTGGAGAAACATGGCGTCACAGAAAACCAACGTCTATTATATTTGTCTTTCGTTTTGTGACGCGAGAAAGCTGGGGCCGACGGTTTTTCAAGGTTAAAAAGGTGTCTGCAAACCTGTCTGTTGTAGGTAACGTGCAGTGGTAATCACTTAAAACCAGGATACCTGGTGACTAGACAACTCAAGTACCCTTTTTTGCCAGGGGTCCTACGCTACGTTTGAATGCCTGCGTTTGTCCTAATTTAGTCTCTGAACGCTTCAATCCTCCAACTCACACGGCTCGGAATATAGTTGCTAAGCAAAGTATATTCTCTCTTGCCTTAAAGATGAAGACATTCACGATACTAATGATAGCAATTAATACTTCAGAGTTGTTAAAATTGTTTGGACCTTTGTGATATTAGCTATTTATTATCTTGGTTACCACGAAACGTCACAGAATAAGTTAGAAATAAAGCGTAGGCTAAGCGCGTAATGCGGGGGAGTAAATAGAAGGTCGTGGCTAAATCCGAAACTATTCAGCTTGTAAATTTTGTGTCCTCAGTAGACGTGAGATGAGCACATTGTAGTCAGAGCATTGTCCGTACGCTACCACGTCCCAGGACCTAAACCATATTGTGCCAACGCAAAGCCGACGTGAAGATGACGTTCAAATCTTAATAAACACGTCTAATTCGTTGAAAGATGGCTCTATAACGAAAAGCGCTGTATAGCAATTGAAATATTATTTTCCTTTGTAACGTATGAAATAAATATGGTCTTGCTTGTGTGTGTTAGCTATTTTAATTCGTTTTGCGGTTTTCTAGAATTATGACTGGTAAGTAAAAAGCATACGGGACTGTTAACACTACACGATGTACTGTTAACACTATTATTTTCTCCTGAAAAGATAGCTATAACGATAACATTGAAACAAATTATAATTTAATTAAATTTTTACAATTATTACTGTTTTTTTTTTCTTTTCTTATACTTATTTTAGTTTATTTAAGAACTAAATGAACTGTATCTTTTCGTTTTCACGGCAAATATTCTTCGATAACGATCTGTAAATTTTGCATCTATAACGATGGACATTTCGAATATAACGATGAAACGAAGCAGTACTAGAAAATTGTCCATTGCCAATCAGGTTGAAATGCAAAAGAAATACGGAACAAGATTTTAAATTTTTTGAATTTCGAGTTAGCTACAATTTTGAGGAAAAGGTTTCTTAAAATTGTAGCTGACTAATAAAAGCTGTGTATTAGAAGTTTCGCTTACGTAACCATTGTGTAACATGCTTTGAATAATTATTTCAAGTTTGTTTAGTTCTACTCATAACATAAAAAAATTGTCTCAAAGTTATCAAAAAGCGTCTTTCTCAGCGATATATATTACAAGACTTTGATTGGCAAGGAGTTTTTCGAAAATACTGTCTCTATACATCATCATCCATCATCATCCTCCTGCTTTTATCCCACCTAGTTGGAGTTGGTACAACATGTGAATCGTGCGGCTTTGGCTATGTTTTTTACGACGGACTGCCTGCCTGACGTCAACCCTCCTTTGGGAAACAAACATGTATGTTTCACATGTGTGTATGTTTCTATACGTCTTGTGTAAATATTGTTTGTACTGATTGTATTATTTTGTTGAATCAGTCGTGGCCGAGATTAAGGATCGACAACCTCAAAAGAAGAGGGAGATTTTTACCAAAAAGGCGAAAATTCATTTGTAGCTCCTCTGATATTGCAAAAATCACGGGCGATGATCACATACGAGTTTAAGTCAGTTGCCCTACATTTCCTTTAAAAAAACGTATCATTTTGAAAAATTTCCAAGATCAATTCTTTAACATAGAACACAAATGATCTCCGGACAATATTATATGCCTCGAACATGGAATCCATAAACTTTAGGACAAAGGAAGCTTATTTACGGATTCATAAGCTTATTGTGCTATGAATAGAAATGTGTATATTACAAGTTATATCTAGACTCTCACTCGTTAGCTGAGACTAGCTTGATTCCAACTCTTAATTTGCACATGAATTGTTAATGTAGTAGTGTTTAGCCAACAGCAAAAATGACATTCCGTAAAAAAACTCAAACACTTTGATAAGGGTTTGGAATTGATTTTATCGTCATATTCTATTTAATTATTTAAGTTACAAATTATCGGGTGAGGAGTGGACTGGTTTTTTTCTCGCTCAAAGTTTAAACTAAGACTAAATAATTAAACAATTAAACAATTAGTCTTGGCACCATGTCGCATGTATTACAATAGTATTGCTAGATAACATGTAATTCAGTTAGTATTTAATATTACTTTCAGTTGGTAATAGAAATTGAAATTGAAGTTGTTGATAGTAATATATGTATGTCTATTTATATAGTTCAAATGCTTAATACATAAAAAGCCAATATGAAAATATACGGAACAAGTCAGTCTGTGAGTTAATTTGGAACTAATTTAAGCTCGGAAAATTCGTTCCGTCCCTTTACGAAGAAAAAGAATAATGAGAGTTAACGAAGAATAGAACTTTGCACTAGTTTGGTCTACTTTTTCTTTACTTTTTAGGCAGGCATGTGTGTAAAGTGAATAAAGCAGGCTTAATAACTATTAGGCTATTTATAAGTATCTTTTTGAATACTAAAAGTATTATCATCATTATCATCATTGCAGCCTGTTTGTGTCCACTGCTGAACATAGGCCTCCACCACAGACTGCCACGAAGAATGATCCTCAGCCACCTGCATCCATTAACTTAACGCACATTTGTACAGGTAGTCCCTCCATGTAGTGGGGGGTATCCTACACTGCGATGGCCAGTACGAGGATCCCACTCGAGAACCTTTTCAGTATACTAGTAAGTATTAATGCCAAACGGGCAATGCGCACTTTAGTTGTCGACAGCAAAAATGTTCTATAGCTCTGGACCATTATGTACTTTTTAAGAAAGACATGCCATAATTCTTGCCCTTGTCTAACTCCACCCTGTACTACAACTTTTAAGATGAATCATTATATATTCAAAAGATTATACGAATATTTTTTTTATTCGTCTTACAGTGGTGTACTAAGCAGTGGAACATAAATAGGCTGTTACTTTACTTTGTTTTTACTTTTACATTTGATATATACAATTTTTGAGTTCAAAATTTTAAGGAAAATTACATTACTTTTATATTATGTTATTTAAATTGGACCATTATATTTTGTTTTCATTCTAATTACATCAATGTATGGAAAAGGTCCATTTTATATAATAGATGGCGTTACTGTAGCATGAGTTTAACATTTTAAAAAGTAAGCACCAAAAATGGTGCTTACTTTTTAAAAAACACGAAAAATAAATTCAGAGATAGATATCCGCTTTATGAAGATTCGTGTAATAAAGATTTAATTTCGTTATCTTAGCTATTTTAGTCCTAACAATTAAATCCTATTGTATAAATATTTGTTACACAGTTTATAAAACGTATGAGATATTATTTATCCTGGTCTATTAGTGTCATTTCATACTCTACGCTGTGCTAATGCCATCTTGTCAATTTGACATCTTCAAAGTCATTGTTGGTTGGGCTACAAACTTAAACTTTATTGGTTAGGTTATTTGTATAATTAACTGTTTTCTCTTTAAAAATGGTAAGTTATTATCTAAAGAATCATATTATTTTGTATTACTTTTCTTTATTTTGTGTTTCAGTTTTATTTTAATACGAATTTTTGTTGTCATCACCGTGATAGTTTCGTTGCCGGATGACTGGCCTTTTTTACTGATGAGTCTTTAATGAATATATTTACGGTCGATCGATTACATGAATATTAGTGATATACTATTATTTGATATATTTTTTACAGTTCCGCAATCAATACGACAGCGATGTCACCGTATGGAGCCCTCAAGGGCGTCTCCATCAGGTAGAGTATGCTATGGAGGCGGTCAAGTTAGGCTCTGCTACTGTAGGTTTGAAAAACAAACAGTTTGCAGTACTAATAGCTTTGAAGAGAGCAGTGAGTGAGCTGTCCGCATATCAGAAAAAGATCATACCGATAGATGATCACATTGGTATATCTATTTCTGGGCTGACTGCCGATGCTCGTATGTTGAGGTAAGTGATAACAATTTGGAAATGTGATAATATACATAAGATGAATATACTAAAGACATAAGATTGGTAATACTAAAGTACTGGCTGTGAAAAAGTTAAACACCTGAAATCATATAGAGAACTTACACATCACCTGAAATGATTGTTTACTATTTTTAAATAAGAAATGTATTATTTTTTTTTTAAATAAGAAATTATGATTAATACAATAAAATTTCCCTAAATTACACATATCAGTATATAAAATATAAAGTCATAAATAAAAAATACCCATGATAGTCACACTTTTCATTGCTAAGTTTTACAGCTACTTAACAAAAATAATACATTACATTTATTGTTCCACCAATCTATTCCTTTCATATTTCAGCCGATTCATGAGAACTGAATGCCTGAACCACCGGTACTCCCATGATGCTCCAATGCCAGTGGGTAGATTAATTGCACTAGTGGGTAACAAAATGCAGATCTGTACCCAGAGATATGACAAGAGGCCTCTTGGAGTAGGTTTGCTGGTTGCTGGTTATGATGTGAGTGGTCTTAATATACAACATAAAATTTTAAGTATGTAGTACAGCCGATAACAAGGAAGTATCTTTTTTAAAATTTTAGCTCTAGTGTGATATTATAATGGGTTGTAAAAGTGTTATTCAATTGCGGATAAATGTCCAGATCCAGAACACTTATTTGTACCCAAAAATATTATATTACCTATTGTACCTATAAATGTGGATTACCTATAAATGTGTCATAGGGTGCCAATATTGAGGGTGTTATAACTATAGCTGTGCCAATTTGCAAACGCACAATTTAAAATATGCATGCAATTGGAAAATATCTTGTGATGCAGCAATTAAATAGAAAAGTTTAAGAAGAAATATTTTGTATTGTTTAATAGCATATTTTTGATCCTTAAATTAAATCAATCTTCCTTTCAGGATCAAGGTCCGCACATTTACCAAACTTGTCCTTCAGCCAATTTCTTCGACTGTAGGGCAATGGCCATTGGTGCCCGTTCGCAATCTGCACGTACATACCTCGAGAAGCATCTGAACACTTTCATGGATTCCGACTTGCAAGAGTTGGTAGCGCACGGACTCAGAGCCTTGAGGGATACTTTGCCTAATGAAGTAGAGCTTAACACTAAGGTATATAGGTATCCAACATACTTAATTTTGGTGTTTCAAAGGAATGATTTATTGAAGTTTTTAAATTTAACCTCACTCACATGATCAAGTGTTGTGAATGCCTAAAGAAGCAACTTTCAAATTTAATTTATTTCTTCTAATAATAAATCTGATTAGACAAGAATTTTGTTTCCAACAATCTGGTGCCTTTTTTGAGATATGATTTTTATTTGGTTAAATTCTCAGTTTTGGACCCAAATCTTAATCAGAGCTGGGATTTATTGTTATACTTCGATTTTCTTCTTAGCTTCATTATTCTGTTATCTTTACCAAATTTTTAATTTATTTTTATTCCATTCAGTCCCATCACCTCGAAGAGTGATTAAACATACATTATGCTGTACCTTGTCTAAACTACATTAGGCCTTCTATGTTGCAGTGGTTGTTGAGACTTACTACCCAAACCTTTTATTTTATTTTATGGGAAGCTAATATAACATAAATAGGAAAACAAAATAATTACAAGCCAGCCAATTACTGGTTTTCACTGATATAAACTAAATGAATTGAGGTATCATCATTTAGCGCCTTGATTCTGAACACAAGATATGGGTATTTATAAAAAATGTAACAAAAAACATTATTAGCATGATTAAAAGTAATCTTGATTTAATATTCGCCTTGTCGATGCACAGCTATTGCAAAAAAAACTAAATCATGTTTTTAGCATAAATTATTAAAGTTATTTCCAGACATCAATGCTGTATCTCACTTCAACTTTTTTCCTGTTTTCCAGAATGTGTCCATAGCTATTGTGGGTCCCAAGACTCCGCTGCGCGTAAGTGACGAGGCGGAGTTGACTCGCTTTTTAGCGCTGGTGGAGGGGGAGGAGAGGAGGGGAGGGGGTGCTAGCGCGACAGGAGATGCAGGTCCAGCCCCCGATCGCCCCGCGGGGGAAGACAGAGATCCTCAGGCAGCGGTAAGTGTTGCAAATCAACACTAGAACTTCAATTACACTTCACGTACAAATTCTCTTTTTTTACTGTAACTTATTAAGGAGTTTTTAGATTTACACAAGTTATTTGAACTTTATCTGTTTCCCACGTACATAACCATAACACTATTTTCAATTCTTTCTACTGTAGTATAGCATGCAGCAGCTTCTAGTGTGAATGAGATAGCTTGTCATGGGAAGTAACATAGCATCTCTGCTATCCAACATTTTGCAATAAATAGTTGAGATGAAAACTAGAGAGATGCCGCTTTTGCCTTTTAAATTAATTGTAAGTTACAGTAAATATGATTAGCATCTAAATGGAAAAGAATCGCTTTGGTCATGAGTGCCAAATGTGATATTTCTTGGTATAAAGAGGATCAAAGATGTAATTAAGGTAGTGCTTTTCACAAATAATAAATTATAAAATATTAAAACGTAATTTTCTATTGGATTCAATCTACTACATTGTAACCTAAGATACAATAGTGCATACAATGCTCTCTTATATCATAAAATTTATAAATCAATTACATACAGATTGGCCTTTCATTTAATTATAGATTTAAAATAATTTGTTGAAAACCTAAATGTTAAAAATGTACAAAAAATTTTTTAGGATTAACTCACACAACTCTAGAGTTACATACATACAGAAATATTCATAGGAATATTATGTTATTAAAGAAATCTTATCAAAAGTGTATATTAATAGTTAATAATAATTATATGGTGTGTGAATTCAAATAGAAGAACTAATTCATCCATTATCACGTAGACTCCGTGGCGCAACGGTAGCGCGTCTGACTCCAGATCAGAAGGTTGCGTGTTCAAATCACGTCGGGGTCAAATTATTTTTTTGCTTATTATTTTTACGTAATCATTAACACTGAGGTTTTCTTTATAAAATTCTACTTTTTTGAGAAAAACATTTCATCAATTATTTTATAAAAGGCTGTGTTTACAATATTTTGGAATGGAAATTCGTTTGGATTTTTTTTTATTTTTAATTTATGATATCTATTAGTATTCTATTATTTTGTAAACTAAAAACATGTTATTTGTAATTATTTTTTGGAAAAAAACAAAAAAAGCCGACAAAAGCAAAAAAGTATGGTATCTATCAATACTGTTTATAGTGAAATACATAAAGTATTTTATTGATCAATTTAGAGGCAAGAGTTTATTACAAATAGTAACTAAATTAGACTTTGTTAAAATTGCCAAATAAACCTAGACCACGCAGCATTCTACCAAGAACGTTAGCTGCATTTTCTCGCTGAAAAGTTTTACTTCAGCTTTGGATGAAAAAAGAACCGGCTCTATTGTCATCAGCCGCAACAATTAGTCGAGGACATAATTATTACTAAGATTTAATAAAAAAATATCATAATTAAATAATTGGGATTTTTAACACTAGCTACACTTAAGTAACATAAAATTTGATTTAATATTTATTTACCTGGATCATCTCAATAAATTTCAGTGGTACTTTATTTCATTCATATACTAAGACTTCGTGAAAATTATTTTCCAGGTTGCCATGGATACGGAGTAATCGCGGAGCGCCTTCAAGATTCTGTGGAGCGTAATACAGAACAGAATAAACCTCTGTCTTCCTCGAACAACTACGCTCCCGTGTTGTCATTCTTTAACCATCTCTGCGAATTTCCCCTTTTGTACATCCTCAAAGGTCTGCCATGGCCAGCGTTTAGATCTGTAATTGCTGTCGCCTCGAATTTGACTCCGGCTGTCTAAGAAATAAAGTCCACTTTAAGATGCATTGCACACTTGCACTTACGACGTTTCTGAAGTGACAGATCTTACATTGTCTAAACGCTGGCCATGGCGAAATATACCAGAAAAATTATTAAAAACTTTTTCTTTAATAATATACTTAACTTCTTTTACTGTTCAATAAATGTCTGTGTATTATATTTTCTTTTATTTTTCTGTTTCTCTGTTGTAATTAAGCAACCTGCGCAAAATTTATAGGTACCTACTATTTGTGTAAGAGACGAATTTTTAGCTGTTTCATGAATGGGCAGGCCATTACAGAAGACCTGCGTGAAGTGGAAGTTCTGCGTTTCGTCTGGTGAGTGAGGTAGCTGGGGCACACTTTACTAAAAGTTGGCAACGCATCTGCAACGCTGCAGGTGTTGCAAATGTCAATGGGCCGCAATTATCACTTATCATCAGGTAAACCGCCAGCTCGATTGCCACCTTCTCACAGAAAAAAAACCTTACCTGAAAGTCGACAGAGTTAGTTGATTATTAAGTTTTTAATGCATAATGTGTTTTATTTTAACCCTGTCTACTCATTATTGCTGTGTCGTTCTTTTCTGCTGTTTCCATAGAGAGCTGATATACTGTAGCAAAAAAGTCATAACATAATGCTCTCATCCAAGCACCTGCTGTCTTATTAATTCAATTCTTATTCCACATGCAAACTAATCTCTCGAATTATAGTCCAAGCAGTCTGTAATTAATTTACAGCATTTTGCTTCTTTTTTTTTAAATGTGAAAAAATCTTTGTGCTCAAACATTTTTTATGCGCAGCAAAATAGTGTTGCGGGTTTTTCCCGCATGCACAAGGTTACCAAAAATCGTAACTTCAATAGTGGGCACTTACAATACAAGGTCATTCACTATAAAATATTGTCTGAGACGTTCTATGTACGGCGACTAGTTAAATGTTATGTTTTTTGCAATAACAATACATTCAGAAGGAATTTTCCCAATTTGCCTATAGATATATGTCCAAATATAATGAAAACTCACGTGAGCTTAAAAGTCGTTTTCAGTTAGTATTTATTAATATTAATTATGTGGAATATATTAGAATGAGGAAAAAGAATTGTCATCTAAAATCAGTAACACATTATTAGTAACAGTTATTTAACCGCCTAAATTTATAAATTAACAATAAATTATACTTCTTACTATAATCTGCTATAATTTTGCTATTTGTGTACTGATATTTTTTAACATACTTTAATATAAAAATGCAGTCTTGTGCATATTTTATTCTTATAATAAATGAAAAAACAGATGGTGTTTTTGAACTGGCAACACTTCATTATGTTCGGGTCTCAAGAATAATCCTTGTCGCCATTGTTATCTATGAGCATTATTGAGTAACGATAGCTATATGACTGCAACTTTTCATAGAGCACATAACAGCATAACGACATCCTGTGTGTATTCTTTGGAAGTACTTCATATTTATTAGAACTGAGTACACCATACTATATCATGTTTGGTGGATATTATCCTATTTGGTAGTTTCTTTTATAAATTAGTAAAGTTTTTTGCAATAACAATTATCCTGCATCTTATTCAGGAATCTGCATCCAATACATATGTCATTGAAGTTGATTAAAAAACAAAACAGGGGACAAACATACTGACTCAGGTATAATTTTTATATATTTCATTTAATACAAATTATCTACTTTTAATGATAATTTATAGACAACAAGAGGAAGGATAGAATGATTGTGCTTATTAGACTATATATTATTTTTGTCTCGCGCATAAAGATACTTCAGTGGCCTGCGAAAACAACTTTTTCTGTACAATGAGTATCTTTGTCTGTACTTTAAATTAATGTCGTTTCTGTTTGTGCGCAATTTATCGATGCCGTGGTGACCCTATAATAAAGTAACTCGAGATAGGGGTCACCGGTCATTTGTTGTCGACCATTCATATCTGTGAACTGTGAAGTGACTCGAGAAACCAGTCAGAGATCGGCCACGGCGCAAGAAACGCGTCGACATGAAGCGATTGGGGAGTCTGTTTAGTTTCAAAATAATAATATGCGCCGCGTACGCACTCAACCTCGACTTCTTGGATCCGAGCGTGTTGCAGACGAGAAAATCGGCGAGGGTCCAGCAAGATGCGGCTACCGCGATTATAAACAAATACATGGATGCAGTCAACGTGACGGTCGATCCGCTTTTGTTCCGTGACAACAAGGACGTGTTCTCTATACGTACGGCGGACGGACTGTTGCACATCAGGGCGAGCACGGGAGTAGCGGCGGTCTGGGGTTTTAACTACTTCTTGAAGAAGTACTGCAAGAGCCAAATAGCGTGGCAGGTGCAACGCGTGGTGATACCGAGCCCTCTTCCAGAGGTCAACGAGCTGGTCGAAGCGAGTGACAGGTTCCGATACTATCAAAACGTTTGCACCGCGTCGTATAGCTTCGTGTGGTGGGATGTCGGCCAGTGGGTGCAGCACGTCGAGTGGATGGCGTTGAACGGTATCAACCTGGCACTGGCGCCGGTCGCCCAGGAGGCCGCCTGGGCGCGCGTCTACCGGAAGCTGGGTATGACTGACGACGAGATAGACGAGCACTTCACAGGCCCTGCTTTCCTCTCGTGGCTGCGAATGGGCAACGTACGTGGCTGGGGCGGCCCGCTGCCCAAATCGTGGCACGACCGCCAGCAGAACATCCAAGACGCCGTGGTGGACCTAATGTACCGGCTCGGAATCGTGCCGGTGCTGCCGGCATTCAACGGCCACGTACCTAAAGCGTTCTCCAGGCTTTATCCCAACACGTCCTTCTATTCCGTAGACAGTTGGAACAAATTCAGCGCGGACTATTGCTGCGGCCTGTTCGTCAATCCACGCGAAGCTCTGTTTAAGGAAATTGGCGAGAAGTTCTTTAGGGAGTTGAACGTCGGCAGTAGTTCGATTTTCACGGCGGACCCCTTCAACGAAGTCAAGATACAGCCGTGGTCGACATCACTAGTGAAAGACACGGCGTCCGCCATATTCTCCATGATAAATAAATTTGACAACAAAGGTGTGTGGTTAGTACAAAACTGGATGTTCGTGCACGATCCAATTCTTTGGCCTTTACAAAGGGTGAAGTCGTTCTTGCAGTCGGTTCCAAATGGCCGCATGTTAGTGCTGGACTTGCAATCTGAGCAGTGGCCGCAATATAATCTGTATCAAATGTATTACGGACAACCTTTCATTTGGTGTATGCTGCACAACTTTGGTGGAACGTTAGGTATGTTCGGTAACATGAAGACGATCAACAAAGATGTGTACGATACGAGGAATCGGGAGGATACTACAATGATAGGGATTGGATTAACCCCTGAAGGCATTAACCAAAACTATGTGGTTTACGATCTGATGCTGGAAGCGGCATGGCGTAAAGAACCAGTACAGGACCTCAAGGATTGGGTTGCGGACTACGCGGAAAGGAGATATGGCTGCAATAACACTGCTAGCGCATGGAGATATTTATTGAAAAGCGTATACAGCTTCGACGGGCTCAACAACGTAAGAGGAAAATATGTCATAACACGCAGACCTAGCTTTAAAATAAGACCATGGTCTTGGTACAGAAGCATTGATCTGTTTACCGCATTCGAGAAGTTCGTTTTGGCCGCTAACGATGGTTGCGACTCGCCTGGCTTCTTACACGATCTGGTTGATGTAACGCGACAAGCTTTGCAGTATAGGGCCGATCAAATATATCTGGACCTTCTGAAGGATAGGTTTTCTAACTTTTGGGTGTTCTTCGCTAGCATTGTCAGATTTGCCGACGTGTTGAATGATTTGAGAGATATATTATTAACCAATAGCGATTTCTCACTATTGCCCTGGCTGAAAGCGGCCCGCGACGCGTCTAATGATGCGCCATTTCTGTACGAGCTGAATGCTAAGGCTCAAATAACGCTATGGGGTCCTAACGGAGAAATAACGGACTACGCTTGCAAGCAATGGGGAGAGTTGGTCCATAATTACTACCTTCCGCGATGGTCCCTATTCTTATTAATGGCGTTGGACGCGAATCTTCAAAGGATAACTTTCGACCAGGAAGCTGCGCAGAAGTTTGTCAGGGCCAACATAGAAGAACGATTCCTGTCCTTGGAAATAAAACCGTTGCCAACAAACGACACCAAGAGTGTTGCCGCACTTTTATACGAGAGATGGGGGTTCGTTCCTAATCTACCTGAAGTGCCAATATCCATTATTAGAGACATTCCCGAGAGAAGAACCACGCTTGCCGACCTAGATTCTACTGAAGATGACACAGTTGATGAGCCGACTGTCATACAATGGCATTCAACGACTCCTATTGGTTAATTTCGAAGGACGTATTGTTTCTTTGTATAAAATAGCTCATAAAAATATAATAAATATTGAAAAAAGTTGTTTTAAAACATTAAATATCATTAACTTGAGTAAAACACAAAGTTTGTTAATTTTTGACACATTGTTGTGGTTGTTGAACCAATGAAAACATAGAGGTTTTCCTTAAATAAAGTAAAGATCTGGAACGAAACTTTACGGACTAAAGATACATTTTATCTCAAAATTTTAATTCATTAAAAACATGAAAACCTTTTGACTAAGAAGAAAAGTAAGATACATAGTTACAACTTGTCTTTTGAATAATGCAAGTTTTGTGTTCCTTATGTACAATTTTTTTTCCTTTCACGTATGTTTCTTTAAATTTTTCATTTTGTCACAATATCACAAAATCTCTAAAATAACTTCAAAATTATAACACGGTTTATTTCTTCCACTTTTTAATATGATTTAATTATATCGTGTCCGTATTACTTTATTATTTAACTAAAAACTAACGTAACATAAATTTTATCGTAAAAATAAAACAGCAACAGATTTTTATAATCGTTGTATATTTTATGTACATTTAACATAGTGTATAAACATATTCAACAGGTATTTAATACAAATACAGATTATATATAATTTGTTTTTGGATATCTTTACAGTTCATTATATCTTTACCTTACATCTATAATTACTTTCTATTGAATTATTTCATATTGATTTGAATGTTTGTTTTCGGGACATCAGATCAGTACTAATAAATGTAGTGGTATTAAATATTAATCAGTAAGGTAGTAAATTACACGCAAAAAAGATTTAAAGGTAAATCAGCAAATTTTCATAATGAGATTGGAATGTCTTAACAATACGTATCTTAGAATTCAAAAATGTTTTTACTTAATTTCGTCATTTACCAAATAACCTTTTTTATCCTTTTACATATCTGTTACCTGGATTATTAAAAACGTCGTTCTTTGACGATAGCGACGGCTTAATAGGAAAAACAGCGTTGTAAAAGAACCCTACGTCACATGATCAATTTGACTAGGCCTAACTAATTTACATAAGACATGATTGGTGGTTTTGTAGCATATTTTTGGTATCGGACACAAAATATAAATTATATGTTGTCTATCTACTAATTCTTACAAACTTAATTGGTATACATTTAGATTTATGCACAGATTGTCTTAGCACCACTGATGATTGTGTATTGTTACTTACAGTTAAATTGTAAAATATATATGCACCCTTGAATATTAAATTTATATTGGGGTCCTTTCTGATTTGGAATAAGATCACTTTCAGGGTTTTACCAGAAGGCTAACTAAGAGTATGGTAATTTCAAATACTTCTTTGGGACAAATTTTGCACCACGTTAAACTTATGTCATACGAGTGTATCTAAAACGTAACCCGTTGCCCCGTATGAGAACACAGGCTGGTTGTTTGCTTGCTCTAGCACAGGGACGTAGCTCTCTTGCAGTAGAATCGGCTGTCGACTGGAGGCCTCGTTCAGCTTTCTCTCGAGAACGGCATTTTGTAACTCTTCCTCCTCCAACTCCAATGTCAATTCATCTAGCAATTTCATTCTACTTTCTATTTCGCTATCTGTTCTCGCCATTTCTGTTGCATTGTTTTCCATCTCTTGTGCAGTTTTCGCTAACTCCTCTTCTATCTTTTCGATGAGCAATGCGACCTGAGTGACGTTTTCGCAGCTGTTCGCTTTATTTTCGTCCGTGTATCGCTTTACCTTCGCTGTTAGTCTCACGACTAGTTCCTCTTCTCGGTGTAACCTTTTGTTGATTATCGCTAGCTTTTCTAACAGTTCAATTTCCTCGCGTATCCTCGAAAGCTCGTCTGCTGAAACGTCTGAATCGGTGTCCGTGTGGGTCTGTGTAAGTCGTTCTGAGTTGACTTGGCAGATGTCTGTTAGTTCTTTTGTGAAGTAATGCTCCCTCATTAAGTGCCTTTCCCTTCTGGATTTATGTTTAGTGTGTCGCCTCGGAGGGGTCCCGCTTCCAACGCCAACTCCGCTGTCACTGTTCCCGGCTTGGCTATCGTTTACTTCACTGCATCGCCCAAGGTCTCGGAGGTATGATTCAAGCAGGTAGTTGGTTCCGTGCTTTTCCATTCGATTCTTGTGGGTTTGGTCCTCCAGATGATCGATTAGTTTTTCTTGTTCCCTGCAAATATGGTTATGGTTATTATAGACGATATTTGATATATACTTTGTAAATTGAGAATCATAATCTCTCATCTAACAAGGAAATCGATCATTAATCGTAATTTAAAGGATGGATATTTTTAATGCTTCTGGCTAAAGTAACAAATCTAATTACTGCAATGCGAAATTCTCGAAAGCTTGGCGTCGATCAATAATAGTTGTCTCATAGGGTAAATCTCATGTGAGATAGATACTAGACGATTATCGTTAACTGAATCTCTGACAAATTTTCTGCTTGCGAAAACAATGCGAGATAATAATAAAATATAATGAAAAGCCTTTACACTTTTGCAAAAAATTATGCATGACAAAAAAATCTTATAATCTACTACGCCTTCATCGCCTCACCTAAGCTTGTCCAACTGCTGGTGTATCGTCCTGCTCTGATGCTGGATAATGGAGACTAGTTTCGTGGCGGGGTCATCGTGGTCTTCGCGGTCTTTGGGCGGCGGGGTCGCGGCGCGGACTCCTTTCTTGCGACGCCTCCGGGCCCCAGCACGGCTCCCGGCGTCACTGTCTCTCCCCGAATCGTCCTCGCCCCCGCTGGACAACCGCCGAAGAGAGAGCCGCACCTGGACAACATTAAGGAATAAAAGCAACAAAGGCCAAGAAATATCTTTTAACTGTGGTAGGGCCACGCAGCAATTTTTTTCCGTTGCAGGAATGGGCAATTCCGTTCGCGAAAGCTCCACGACCTCGCAGAAGACCAGCGTGAAGTGGAAGTGTATACATCACCGTTTCGTCTGTTGAGTGAGGCACACTTAATTGAAAGGTTAACGCATTTGTGAAATTGCCGTATATGTTGTCTGTGATCGGTGTTTCTGGTTGAAGCTTGCTGCATTCTAATAAACAGTTGATTTCTTATCGCATTCTCTTTTATACTCGTTACCCCCACCGTTACTATCAGTGGTCATTACACCCGTGGTCATGGTCGAGTTGTCGTTAATTTGTGCATGTTTTGTCGTATATGAAGTATCGTCACTGTGCGTACCTCGTGTCTGGCATCGCCCCAAGCGGCTAGGACGTGTAAGACTGGTGCGTCGGGTGGCAAAGGTCTCTCCACACCTCTCCATCTCTCAGCTAAAACCCATTCGCCGTGTTCACTTAATCCACTACCAGCTGCAACAAATTAGTATAATTTTAACATAAATAATACTGTTGAATAGCTATTATACATCCGTACATATTTGTTGTGAATCAGAATTTACTTTGCGTATGCGATTTTCATGTTTATTATTTCCCTATGGGAAGTCGTTTCTCAAGCGAATTCTCAATTCGGCTGTATTTTGAAGTTTTTGGCGTGGATGGAAAAATTATGAGAGTAAAATTTTAACGACCCTCAGAAAGCGACATGATGCTTGCTAACCTATTTAATCTTGACAACCAACAACAACTTTTTGACATTGGACTACTCAAAGGGTTACCTTCGGGAGCATCCTGCAACGCCCGGACAATATCCGCGCAGGTCGTGTGCGCTCGGACACCACGCACCCAGAGCTTCTGGCCCCGCGCGATGACCCCCACTTCCTCGTCGCTGTAGTCCGAAGACGAGGCCTCCATGTTTCATCACCTGGAACATTTGGACGATTAAAAAGGCCGTCCCGTGACCATGAACGCTGTAAAGGCCGAAACGTCGGGAATTAAAAATAAACGCGATAAATCCGTAAACATCATTTCATTTTGTGATTAAGAAGTGTTTAAGGGGCTGATTGTAGTCTGTGAAAAAGTGTTGAAACAGAAACATGGTGTTAAAATTTGTAGAAAAAGTACGAAAAGATCGTCGCCGCTGTGGGAATCAAACCCACGTCTGCGGCTTTCGCGGCCTGACGGAGTGCAGAGATTAGCACTATAAAAAATCTAAATGATGTTGGTTGATTAATTTCTGAGTTGTTAGTTACTATCACTTCTTTGCACTTGCAGACTAAATAATCTATCGATTATGGAATATTCTTATCATTTTTTTACGTCAGAAGGTGGCAAGGGAGCAGGCAGGCGGTTCGTCTAATTTCAAGTGACCTGGTAAAAATGAAATAAGAATATGTAGAGATGTAGTCCTGGAATTAATCCCGACCAGACCCAAACTTGAATATATACAGTAACCGGCTTTAGAACTTCTAGAAAATATACGAATGTGTATAATTGAAAAATTAAATATTTTGATTATTTTAAAATTTTTAGTTTTAAAATAATTATTATTGTTAATATAAAGTTTTCGTTACAGTATTAGATATACTGTTTTGCGAGGAAATGCAGCTAGCATTCTTCGTTCGTTAGATAACGTGTTGCTTACTTAGTTTTACTGTAATTTAAATAAATAATACAATGAAATATCTTTTAGTTATATAATTCAACATAAACAAAACAACGAGATTTAAATACTACAGCTGAGTGATTCGATAATTCGCTATATTCGTATGACTAATTTCCGATATTTTGATAAACGTGCATGTACTTGTGTTTACAAATTCTTTTGTCGTGTATTGAAATTATCGAAATGATCAAGACGAATACAAGCCCATGTCTTTAAAACATCGATCTCAGGGATTGTTTGTAGGGCGTCACCCTTGCAAATTTGAATTCGATTACATAAACACACTGGATATTAACCACCGAGCCGCCACGAAACTAAGAAACAAAGTTCTAAACCTATCCAGCAAGAACCAATTACTAGCAAAGTTGGAGTAACCCCGGTGCTAGGGCGCGCCTGGCACTTCTGCCAATTTGTGCGATAGCAAACTGGCTACCGCCGGTTGTAGCCGGTTCACGTCCGGAAATAACCGCTTTCGATCGGCAAAGTTTTTGTTTGAAATCGTTTTATTATGAAGCAAAGGTGCTACTGACTAAGGTTTCAGTCCGTTCCTAATAACCACCTACTAAGCCACTTAATACGTCACCGTTATGTATTCAATTCCCAGCTAGAAGCGATCTGAATATTTCCTTGAAAATCATTAAATAACTTGGAAATTAATTACGAATTATGCCTAATATGGTGGTTATGGGTCTAATGAAAACAACAGTAATTGGTTAACCAAACATAACGCGTATTGTACAAATTGATTTAGTGTAAAAATATATATATTTTTACAAAAATAAACATTTTTTATTGATTCACTCAACATTTTCATTACATAACATTCAATTCATTCACCTTATATATTGATTACCTGCTGATAATGAAATTGGGTTTTTATAAAAATACTGCGGATAACAGTAAATCTTTAACAAATATAAGCCATAGTGAACAAATTGAATTATTGCGCCTACTATCCACATTTCGAGATTTTTTCCAAGTTCGGGTACAAATGTTCCTTCGTGATGTTTGTGATGACAATGACTTCTACACTCGGAATAACCGTTATTCATTTCATTTTTCCACGCCAAAAGCATTAGAGGTAAATTCGAAACTGCGACAGCCGACGAATCAATATGGCTGTCACTGTATATTTTACACTAATTATTTTCTTTATTAATAACCTTAAGGAGTAGAGAGTAGGCTGTTAGTTATTTGTTACTTCTTATACTTCTGACGACCTGTGCAAATGTGCGGGTAGTCGATGGATGCAGGTGGCTCAGGATCGTACTTCGTGGCAGTCTATTGGGGAGGCCTATGTTCATCAGTGAACTCAAAAAGGCTGAAATGATGATGATTATACTTCTACAGTTTTACTGGACTGTTCATAGACATATTTGCAATACTATGTGTATTGTAAATATGTCTATGAACATATATTACTTAGAAACCATTTATTTATGCTTTATGTAGCTTGCTGTCATTTTTTATCACCTGTTTGTCTATTTATTATCTTTTTATTGATCTAATAATTGTCTTCCATCCGATGGTAACGGATCATGTTTCCGTAGGCGAGGAAGGCAATATTCTGGCAAAAATTCATTCGTCAACTTATTGGCATAAAAAATATTTAGATCGACAATATTAGTGGCGTGGGTTGTTTCGTGGGGGACTATCGTGACGAGGCGCCATTAGGAGTTTCCGTTAGGAAACTCCCTCATTCTTTTCCACCCCTTAATTCGCCCCCTCGTGGGGTGGGCACACCCCGTTGTATCGTCCACGTCCAACGTCCTTTAGTTTGCGATGCTAGTTTGTTCGTGTAACATTTAATAAAAACACATCCATGAGCACTCGGATGAAGAAGGATAAATGGTCTTTACGGATTCCCAGTTTGCGTAATTTTACGCTGTAGCTCCTTCCATTGCCACAAATAAATTAAAAATCCGGTCAATTCGAGTCAGACTTAAATTCAAATCATGTCTGTTGTATGGGAGCCCCACTTAAATATTTTTTTATTCTTTTTTTTAGTATTTGTTGTTATAGCGGCAACAGAAATACATCATTTGTGAAAATTTCAACTGTCTAGCTATTACGGTTCATGAGATGTAGCCTGGTAAAAGATGGACAGACAGACAGCGGAGTCTTAGTATTATGGTCCCGTTTTACCCTTTGCGCACGGTACCCTAAAAATGGTCTACTGTTACGCCAACCTCATCTCCCACTTGGCCAAATTATTTGCCCTGTTGCCTAGCCCCTTTTAGTTATTGCAGTGACCTTTAGTTTGATTTCATATTGCAAGAGGTTACCTCGCTAAGTCGTAGGACGAACTGACCTCGCCGCTTTAAATCACAGCGGCGCGCACAATAGGCTGCAGTTATCCGATTTACGACGATTTATGCACTTAAGCATAAATCGTCCTATCGCCTTTGTGACCACTATACTTCGACTGGTAGATAACCTGCCACATTGGGATTTAAATAAATATCACATAGCTTCAAAAATATCGTGTATAACACCGTGTAACATTTTAACGGTGCACGAAATTAAAATTATCGATTTTTAAGCAAAGGACTTCCTGCGTTATTTATCATTAATTTATTTTATAATACAAATTCAATGGATGCAAGCCGCTATCGACCGGTCGAAATAGAAGTCAGAGAGAGAAGTCAGAAGTGGGGGAGGCCTTTGTTCAGCAGAGGACGTCCTATGGCTGATATGAAGATGATGATGCACGAAGTATGTACAACTGCAATTATTAACACAGTTAAATAATGCTCATAAATTTTGATTCCCGCGCATATTATCGTCATCAATAGTAAGTTTAACTTGTGTTATGCGCGGATTTATACATTTGTGTCAACCTTGTAAAAAAATATGTAGGAATAAACGGAAACTAGTTTCATTCAATAAACAAGGAATTAGCGTGCAAGCCCACTCTAAATCAAAATTGGGAGATGACATCTGGCTACCACCATCATTGAATCCTAATTGTGCGAACATTTAGGATTCAATGTCTCTATAACTGAATTGTTATAAAGCCGGAATGTACTGTGAAAATAACTTAAAACCGTACACTCCAACTCAGGCCGTTAGTCACTTCCTAAAAGACTCCCTCCACCAGGTGTCCGACAGGATATTGTGGCGCGTAAGTGGTGGTTACAGAGTGCGTACTCAATCCGCCCGCCGGTATTATCTGCGCTGTTCACGCGACGCCCGTAGCCCGAACGCGGTTGCGCGGTAGCTGTGGTATTGTGACGCGGGTTTATCGATAAAAAAAGAAAGAGAGAAATATTCTTTCTTTCTTGCTTCTCTTTTTTACTTTTTTTAAACCGCGCTCTTACTGTATGATAATATTATCTCGTGTTGTAAGGGCGTTTTGCATATTATGAATTTCATGTGGACAAACACCCAGAATGAGAAACAATTATTGGTGGGTCACACAGATAGCTATCCCGGGTGGTAATCGAACCCACGAGCACCGGCGCCGAAGGCAATACCTTGACAACTATGCCACGTAGTCATCAAGTCGTTTATAATCGATAGCTAACATACCTTCATCTTATAATGTCGATATTATTGAAAACTCAACTAGATGATGCTGTAATACTATGCTGAAGAGTAGAGACGTCTTTTGTGAGAACGATATCCCTGTGTACCAAATGTGTCTGTTCGCTATAGCCGCATCCCCAATTAATTTCCTAAGATGTTAAACAACATTTTCCTTAAGTTATGACCATCTGAAATATAGTCAAAGCTCTCGTGTTTTAATTTTACACACAATGATAGTTATTGCTTCCACTTTACACTGAGCTTATTCAATCCAAGAAATGAATCACGTTGATCTATAGGTGTGGAACTTGAATTACATGATTTCGCTTGAGGTTCATTTTAAAGGCCAAAGTGTCGTCTGTCATACAATATGGAAAAATATTATCTAAACTATATTTTAGACCACATTATTACACCATTTGGAGTGTGTGATTTAATTACGTTTTTATTGAAATCGACTTTACAAAGTTTCCAATCTCAACCAAGCGACATCGAAATAATACGTTTCTTTTTTCATTAATGTTAACTTGACATGTCCAACTTGTCGATATCGATACTACTGCCCTATCGACATCGTGGCTTAACTAGGACTGTTACAAGCAAATTATCGGTAGCCCTCGCCTGATGCGTAGTACCTACCTAATTACAGGAGTGGAGAGCCGCGAGCACGCAAGGACGTGCGAAATTACTTGTGACACAAAGCTTTCGCGTTCGGCCAGCA